CTAAAAATATAAAAGAATCTTAATTTTTTATATAGAAAAAGAATTATTTTTTCTGAGATAATAAAATGTATGATAAATTTTACTAATTTTAAACACATTGTAAATTGATTATGATCTGTCCTTGGCTTGTCTACTAATGCTTTTGTTTTGTTCTATATTTTATATTTGTTATATAACTTGTTACATCTATCAATTCTACTTAATATTTTTTTTCTTATTTTTCTTATTTAAATAAAGTTTAATGAAAATTTTTTATATAATAAATATAATATCTTATTATATTTATATAATAAGGTTCTCATTTAAATAAAGATTATTATAGAATTATTATAGAATTCTAAATTTGACCTTTATATTGATTTGGCTTTAATTTTTTTATGTAGTAGAATACATATTAATTATTATATTTATATTACGATTGACAAATAAAAATTCCAACAATTTTCTTGAAATTCAGTATAAATTTTGCTTACTTTGACTATTCTAATTTCGATTATTTATAATAGTAATTTAATAAAAAAATTTATATAATTTGTGATAGTACTAGACATTTATGCATACTATTGAAATATCCATTATATACTTTGATAAACATCTGTTTCAGAAATACTACCAATGTGGAGGACAACATGTGGGCGGGCATGTTGTGTGTTATCTTCTTCTTCCTCATTATATCAGTCTTGACATTTCCCAATGGTCCATTCACCAGACCTCATCCAGTGGTATGGCGGATAGTGTTTGGCTGCAGTGTGCTCTATCTGATGGGTTTGCTGTTCTTGTTGTTTCAAAATTATGAAACAGTCAGAAGGATCCTGGTATGGATAGATCCAGGTTTAGCATCTTTCCACATTGACATGGACAAGGAGTACGGTGTCAATTGCTCAGATGTCACAGTGGAGAAGATCTGGAATCACTTGGATGTGTTTGCATTAGCTCACTTTCTCGGCTGGGCATTCAAGGCCATTCTGATTCGTCATCTTGGTATCCTCTGGGCCATCAGCGTCATGTGGGAGGTGACCGAGATTGCTTTTGCTCATTTATTGCCAAACTTCATCGAATGTTGGTGGGACGCGTTGATTCTGGACGTCCTAGTATGCAATGGTTTGGGTATCTGGGTTGGCCTGAAAATCTGCTCCATATTGGAGATGAGAGAATACAAGTGAGTTTAAATCCTAGTTTAATTAAATCTTTATTTCTATTTCATAGAGAAAATTTTTCTTTCCTCATTTCTTAATAAAGAATATTGAAAAGTACTGAATGACTACTTGTCTTGTTTCTCGAATACAGGTGGGTCAGCATTCGTGATATCGAGAGTACCACTGGGAAACTGAAACGAGCAATGTTACAGTTTACTCCTGGTAGTTGGACGTCTGTCAGATGGCTGGATCCAACTTGCACGCATATGCGACTTGTCGCCTTGTGCCAGCTAGTGATATTCTGGCAAGTCTCCGAATTGAATACTTTTTTCTTGAAGCACGTCTATGAATTTCCTCCATCTCATCCATTTGTCGTGGCCAGATTAGTGTTAATCGGCGTAATAGTTGCGCCATCCGTTAGGTGAGTATGCGACTTTCGAGATTTTATATATACGATTGAATTAAATCTCAGAAATTTTGAGTAACTTAGAATTTTGTGTTTGTGTTAAATATGAATATTTAAGTTTGAAATTTTAGAATATTAGAATCTAGATAATTTGAAAAAAGATATCATTAATTATTATTAATTATGTCAGTTAAATATTATATTAAAATAAATTATATAACATGATTTTAAGAATAGACACATTAATATTTCGGAGTTTTAAAATAATTTTGTTGATCAATGGATTTATTAAAATACTTTAATAAAATATTGCAAGTCAAAATACTTGGACATTTAAGATAATATTTGTTATTAAAATTACAGACAGTATTATATGTATGTAACTGACCCAACGTGTAGTCGAGTGGGCACTCAGTGTTGGGTCTATGGGGCAATCATGGTAACAGAAGCCTTGCTATGTATACGTCATGGTGCAGCTCTATTTGAGCGCACTCAGGCTCTGAATATTCTCCTTTGGCTGCTCTGCCAGTCTCTAGTCTCCGTTCTTTGTGTCTACGGCTGTGTTTTATGGCATCGATACTTTGAGGTAAGCATTGAAATTTTAATTTCGTTCTAAACTTTTAAAAATAGAAAATTTAAAAAGAATATTACTATAATATTTGTTACTATAATAATATACTATAATATATTTGTTATTATAATTTATTACTATAATATTATCAGAGAAAATAAAGTGAAAAGATAATATATATAATTTCATAATAATTTGAAAGTATCGCATAAACTTCTATTTTTTTTTGCGCATTTATATGATGATTTTATGTGTCGTCTAAGCAGATATAAGCGTCAATAGTTGGTTATTAATTTTTGTAACTAACTCTTGTTGCTCCTTTTAATTGCATGGCACTGATCACTACAGACGGAAAAGAAAGCCACTATAAGGCGGTCTGTCTCCCACTTAAGCAAGTTTGACACGGATATAAGCGGTATGTGTTGATCGATTATGCATCGTATGATGTATAATCGCTCGATGACTTACAAGTACTGAGTTTGCGACATTTGATTAACTGTTTGCTGCTTCTGTGATGTTCTATTGTATTGCACACAACTTGAAACTTTAAAAGTCATTTTGAAACTTATCTGTTATTTGTTCTGATATTCTAACTCGATTATTTTATTTTTATTGATAATTTTTTTCTCGATAAAAAAAACAATGGTTAATTATTTGGGCAAATTTTTTTGACGGTTGGATGCTTTTATTGCAATTTATAAATTTCAGGATTCCATATTCTTGGAACATTAGATCTTAAGAAAATTTGGACTTTTCGGATTTTGAAATACTTTAATTCTTTAATTTCTGAAAATTGTATCTTTCTAAATCCTCATATCTTTGCTTTCTTTAAATTAAATAAATATATATAATAAATCATTTCTCGACTTTTCTTATTAAAAAATAATCAGATTGGAAAAGTCAAGAATCTTGTTTAAATATATATTTTTTAATGTTTTAATTCTATTTTTGTTTTTATTCTCTACTGTGCATTTTAAATTAAATTTCTTTTTCAAATGTCACAACTCAGTCGACGCAACAGTTTTAATGCATTTTAATGAGTTATTTATAAATGAGTCTATATATTCTAGGGAATATGGCTCGTCGTACGAAGTCTGTGGAAGAGTTGGATAAGAAGGAACTGTGAGAGAAAAAACGAAGATTGTTCGATAGTGAATTGTGAACATTAATTATACTTTCTAGTCGAATAGGACAATCATGCGTAAAAGAAGGATGAATGATAATGATGATTCGCATGCGTGCGAATTAATTGTTTGCGATGTGGTGTGAGTGATCTCCAAAGCTATTGTTACTTTTGTTCCTCAGAATAAATGGAGAACGTTGTTATTACTTGAATAATCCATGGATGTTCCAATTTAACGATTTCAATTTTTATGGGAGTTTGATGTGAACTTCAGGAAAAAACCGTTCATCGATCCATATTCATTCAATGATCACGTTCGCCTATTTTTTTTCCTTTTTCAACATTGCTTATGTTACCTCGCAAACAATGCGACAACGTTTTTATCAAGGCATTGTTTTTAAATTTAAAACACATTTTTATTGTACGTGAAACGAGAATCTCTTTACATACATACATTAAGGAATACAGAAGCAAAACACATGTTCTCCAATTTGTTTTTTTTTCTTTTTTAGATTTTAGAATTGAAGAGAGTTTTACGATCGCATGGTGAAGCCATATTTAGTATTTTTTTAATTCAATTTTGAAACAATACATTAGAAATATTTGCCACGAATCTCACAGAATGAATATATCCGGGTTTTGTTTCTGTGCCTATCATTTTGTCCGTTTCGCCTAACTGTAAGTCGCATCGACTAAATTATTGGCTAAATCACAATGTCCGCGACATTAGTTATCCATTTAATGTCATTTTTGCGAAAGATCTTTACTCCGGGGTCATCTGGATCTCCTGGAAGTCCTGGATGTATGGGAACACGCTGCAAATGTTATTGGGCGCGATCTGTGAGCCGAGTGGGCACTCCCATGCTTCGGCGACGAACTCGCTATTCGACGCGGAGACGAACACGCGTATCCGGCTTGGCAAGTTCTCGCTCTCGTAGAGGGAGATGTACGATGACGTGAGTGGCATCTTCGTGCAATACATCTATAACGGCAAAAATGTAAAGACAACGATAAATGTTAATCATCCGAAGCAACTCAATGATAATCATAAATTTCGAAGAAACTAATAATCGTCCATGATCTTTGTGAATACTTGGATTTTACCACTGAATTGTCATCGAAAATATCTCAGAAGATTTGAAAACCGTCAAAACATTTTCTGGGATGCTTTGCGAAACGAGAAGAACCCTATTAAATGACGTTAATGTAAAACGAACTGTGAGAACAGTACCTGAGCGTAGGCGAGATAGAATAATTGATCGATGCCGAGTTGTATCCACGGTAATGGTTTCGCATTCGATTTCCAAAGAACCAAAGTGTCATAGGCTAGTCTGAGTCCCATAATTTCAGACAACCGCTCGTTCAAGGTCAACTGCGGGATCTAGAATATTTACAATATTTGTCGATATATTTGCGTCTGCGAACGATTTAATAAATCGAGCGTCACGCAAAAGAAATACCGCGTTTTATTTTAAACCTCACCACGTAAAAGATTTTCCCAACAAATTTTATTATTTCATGCGTTGCGTAATTAAACATCAGTTTACCTTAAAGGATACAGTTTGATCGGTGAGAGGTAATATCCAATTTATAGATTCTTGGTACAGATTGTCCCTTTGACAGCTGATATATTCTTCAAAAATCGTGTCTGTTAATTCATTCTCGTACATCAAAGAATAGTTAATATTTCTAGTTTGATTCCAATAGTATATACCTAATAATACATCAGAGAATTGTACAATTAAAAATTATTATAAAGAAGAAATAGTTCTTATGATTCAAGAAAATTAATCTTTGAAATTATAATTTTTCTATTAAAAGTTTTTGATATAAATTATATTTAGTTGTTTAAAATTTAAAGATGATAAAAAGATTTATGATAAATATTCATAAATATTCATACAATCATCAATGATTTATACAATTTTTAGATATTTATGATATAGATTTAGATATGATTAGTTATAGTGCCATTTACCATTCGCGTCAAAATGATGGGCAATCTGATGAGCTATTAAATTTCCAAGCCTTGCTAGCAAAAGATAATCGAAGGATGATTCGTCATTTATTAAGGACCAATCGATGATACCATAAGGAATCATGATAAGGTTTAAGGCGTAGATTACTTCTGCCTTTGACTGGAATGGTGTCGCATAATATGTCCAACTGTAATAGTTTGCTTAATAAAAATTCAAAATCTAAAAAGTTTATCTTCAATTTGGAAAATTGAAGATAGAGATTCTTAAAGTTAAAGATATAAAATTTTAAGTTATATTACCAAGTTTAGTCCATGTACAAAAAAGTCTAATATAGAAATATAGAAATATTTGCAATGAAGGATATCTAGAATTCTATTCTTGAATTTGTTCTGATACTAATTAATCGTAAATTAATTATTTGTATTATCTTATTTACATTTGCTTTGGATCGCCAATTTGTCTTCTTAATTTGGTGTACATTAGAGTTCTATATCTTTTCAATAGAATCATCGAGTTGTTGAAATAATTGTCAGATAGAATTAGCTGAAATTTGATTGCGAATCATGTAATTAAAAAAATGAAGATATACAGGATAATTCGATAATAACGAATATCAATAGAGAAAAATAAATCTTAAAATAAGAAAAGAATTCAAAATAAAAAATATATAATATTATAATTATATAATTTTCTAAATGTAATAAAAATGATATTATATTTATACAATGTTTGCTTTTTGATTTAACTTCTATATTTTCGTCTCTTATGTTAACTTTGATAATATTAATATCGATTTATATCTTAATAAAATAAAAAATTTCACCTCTGACACATTAAACTCGTTATATAACGAGCTTCTATTCTTGAAATAAGAAGCAACAGGCAGTGCAAGTTGGAGAATGTCGATCTTTTTTAACAATTCTTCTCGTGCTTCTTCTTTTGCCCATTGTGCTTCTTGCATTTTTGTTGATAACGTTTGTTTCAACTTATTGAATATTCTTGTCGTCTATCGAATGAAGTAACAGGATTCGTCAAAGAATAAAAAATAATTTGTAAATTTAAATTGAAAATTTATTCTTTTAACTTAAGTTTCACTTACTATTTCATTCATTTGCGTTATTTCGTGGTCAGTAAAAGACGATACATACAAACTGGATGCTTCTATCTGTAGGAGATAACTAGCCACGTGCAGACAATAATTCTTTACATTATCATGTTTCGGCAGAACTAACTGCAAAAATTTTAGTTAATATAATATAATATAAATCTGTTAAGAAATAATAATTCTGTTACGTTAAATTATTTATATAATATAACTCATATTTTTAGATTTATCATATTTTAGACTCATATTTTTATTTTATTATATCGAAGAGTGCAGGATTTTGCAACATGTGAATTACCTCTTGATAAAGTTTATGCGCGTACAATCCCATTATCGCATTGTTAAGACCCATAGAATCCTCTTTAGCATATTCCTCTAATCCATTTAAACCTTTAATCAAGGCGGTGTAGAAATAAATATGAATCTTTTCATTAGTTACTATTCCTGTTAACGAGCGAATTAATTGCGTCCAATTTATCTGCGAGAGAAAATTAAAGAATGAAGAATGAGACACTGTTAAGAAAAGTTAAGAAGTTTTGAGAAATAAGAATATTAAACATGATTTGATTCCATAATCTTTTTCTTCATTTTTACGGAAAAATTGAACTGAACTTCTCTGCATTTCTTACTCACGAAAGCGCTGTTGCTCTGCAACTCGATTAAACCTATTTCACTGTAATTGTTCATCAAATACGTTTCCTGTATTTTACTATTGGACGGGAAGTGCTGCAGAATTGATCGAAGAAAAATCGTTTTACTGATGGATAAAAATGATCGGCAAAATGTTTATTACAGACTTAATTACCGAAAAGTATTTTTGCATTATAACAGAATCGATTATGTGAATGGTTTTGGATTGTATATCCCATTCTAAATAGCTATCATTTAATTCTCTAAAAACGTCAAGTTCTATCAGCGCTTTCCTAATGGATCTCATAACATCGCTTGTGTTATTCTGCAAAATAAAAACAAGAGTAATTACTTGCTGTCAACTTAATACATCTTATTAATTTCTCAATATATATTTTATATAATTATCTAATTATCCCATGAATCCCAATCGAAATTTTGTTAACAAACTTTGGCTGAAAACGAGAGAGATTTTATAAAAACAGAAGCAAAATTCTTTTTCTTTTTTCTCCATATTATTAAAAAAAATTTTAATTTGATGGATTCTTTAAATTTTCCTCTTGAACAATTCGTGATAACTTAGCGACTTTTACCTTGCACTTTATATAATTATTGTACAATATTTCGAGATCCACATATTTCGCTTCGACTTGGTCCTCGAAGCACGGATCCTCTACGTATTCCGCTTTAAAAGGACTCTCATACGTCGTAGGGCCAATTTTCAACGTGAAACTATTTGGCCGGTGATCGTCTAATTCTGGTACAACGTCGAATAGAAGAGCGCTGTGGATTAATCGCAGACAGTTAATTGCTTAATAAATTAAAAAAAAAAAATTAATTAATTTAAAAATAATTTATAATACTTGAAAGAACTTTATAACATTTTAAAGATAATTTATAATATTTCAAAAAAGATAATTTATAATATACTTTCTGAAAATTTACCTGTGGTGTAACATTAATCGGGCGAATAAATCAGTGAAGTCAATGTGATTATCATGCGACATAGATATGTAAAACTTTCCTATTTTCTTTAATGCATCGCTTGCTGTAACAAATTTTATAGTTTTATTATCTTTATATTTCACATATAAATCTTCATTTGAAGCTATTTGACTATTAGATGCTTGATAGTTTCAATTTACCCATTTTTATCCTTTCGCTGTAGCTCATATCTCTTTCATATTGTACGCAGCTATCGTAGTATGTCGCAAAAGGCGAGTGCACGTTTTCGCGCTTCTCTTTTAACATTTGATCTAAAATTATTTAAATAATAATTAGCGTGTAGAATGTCAGATGTAAAAATCTGACATTCTTCTGCGAAGAAATGTTTCGACTTGTAAATAATTATATTTAATTAATCATTTAAATAATTTAACAATAAATTAATAAAAATTAGCCTATTAGCGATTCATTAATAATTTATCTTAATATTAACAAATTTACTGGCGATTCGTTGATAATTCTTGGATTTTCGAACTAGATCTTCGTCTGTCAGCTGCGGATTAGCCTCGAAGCCACCGCAGGCGTACTCGTAGAAATCTGAGCAGGGATCAGCCGAATGATTCATGTAAGATAGCATCCTGCTGACGATCTGCTTGCAATGTTTCGTCTCGCACACGTTTGTGTTCTTATCGAGAAGCGTGGTTGTAAAATTCATTTCGTCGTAATTTATCGGGATGGCTGTGCTGCTGGTTGTATAATTGAAAACAGAAGTAGTAGATATGTTCGCATAATTGGACCGCACACTGTAATTCTCCATTTTACCAGAAGTCACATTCTCGTTATATTTTTCGATAATACGATTATCTGCATTCATAGTTTTATTTATCATATCTTCAGCTTCCTATAAAATTATGTATATTTTATATATATATATATATATATATATAATTATATTAATTATTAATTTACTATTTATATTTAATTTTATTATTATATATATATATATATATATTATAATATATTATATAAGTTCCGCAGATTTGAAAATATCTAAAGAGTGTAGATTAAATATTAAAAATTAAAAAAATTTAGAAAAATATAATAATATAAATTATTTAAAAAATTAATATATCAAATATTAAAAAAACAAATTTTAATATATAAATTTTCATTACATTTTTAACGTCCGTAGTTGTTGAAAACTTTTCATTCGTAGAGTATAATAGAGTATAATTTATAACAGGAGAGCTCTCTCGCATTACATTTTTATCAATTAATGTCGCATTGTATTCTTTGCTCTCATAATTTAAGAATTCCGTTGTAAGATTTTCTGTATTCCTATTTTCTTTAAAGTCTGATAGAGTTGATGATGTTGAAACAGTAATATCATTTGTTGTTACTTCAAACTGTGATTTCTCGGAATATTGAGTTCTATTGAAGAAACTATTAACACTTGTGCTTTCTTCAAAATCAATCTGAAGACTTGGTGTTGAAGATACAATGTTATCAGTTGTTACAACACCATTTCTTAATTTTTCTAACTGTTTTGTAGAATTTTCGGAAGTGTTCTCTTCCAGCTCGTTCAAGCGAGTTGATAATGTTGGAGTCGTTACATTATTAATCACAATCTCAACTTCTGATTTGTCCGAGCTATATTCATCAATGGAATATTTTACGGTTATAGCTTCCTTAGTGGATTTTGAAGTTGTAGCGTTGTTTACAACTTCAACAATTGGAATGTCTTTCGTAGTGGAATCAATAATTGGTGATGTTGAAGAGGTGCCATTATCAATAACATTATCAGTTATAACATCACGTGGCAATGTAATTGAATCAATATTTTGTTCCGTAATTTCTATACTTTTCTGAATATAATCTTCAGTGTCTACAGTTTTTGTATATTCCGTAATATAATTTTCAGTAACTTCATGATGTACAGATGTAGAAAGCGTTGTTGTTTTATTCTCGTTCGTTTTATTTTCGTGGTAATGTTCGAACATACGAGATCCTTTAACATTTTCCTTCGAATTGTCTTTAGTGCTAATGATATCGACTTCCTCTGTTGATCTATAGTTTTTGTGGTCCTAGTGATTGTTGTTTCTGGAGTTTGAGTGTTCGATAGAATTCCT